CCGAACTTTGGATCTCTTACAACTTAGCCCTTTCTCCAAATTTGTCAACTTTTGCTTATTTTCTTCGATCTCACCAACTTACATCACAACATCAAAATCACACATCTAATTATTTAACAATTACATAAACATTACATCATTAATTATTTAATTATCCAAAAAATTACATATTTATTAATAACAAATTAATTATTAAACAAAACTATTAAATATAAACTAGGCAAACGTGCATTGCACGTTGCTTGCACCTAGTGATCCATACATATAAGAAAAACTGCATTCACATTCTGAACAAAAAATGCCTCAAAAAATAAGCACCAAATCGTGAAAGTTATCTATTACCACCGAAAGTGGCATTCACCCATTCCTAGAAATATGGTGGCTGCACAATCTCATATGTCACAGCCAATCTTGGTGAAAATAAACCAACCACATACTCGGATTAGCAACAAGGAAGTTGGTAACCCTAAATGTAGTAAGTTGACTACACATGGGATTTCACTTCTGCTGCCCCTATGGAGATTGATCAACCAGCTGGCTACACTGTAGTCTTTTAGACCCTGCAAATGGCGAAGAAGAACTGCAATGGAGGACAGTATGCCGCAAATGCTGGTTCTCTTTTCCCAATAAGATGATGTGTTAAAAAGGAAGTGCAGGGTTTTTTTTTATTTATTATTATTGAATTGAAGAAATTTTAATCCAATCAAATTTCACCACATCATGTTATATCAACCATTATGTAACGAAATTATGTTCGTACAGCACAATCTTATCAAAATAGGGGGAATAAAAGTGTCACTTTAACACTTTGCTGGCAATGAAACAATGGAATGAAATGAAATGGCAATGCGACCCCTCGTCTCCTTGACCTCCCTCATTTTAGTACAGTACTACCATGGTTGCTGTCCTTTTAACTTAGACAGACATATATAAACCTTGCATCGTTTGTCTAGTTTCATTAGCAAATTTAATTTTTTTCTAATCGGTGACAAAGTAGGATTTTTTGATAGGAAGACGAAGATGTTGAGGGACAAAATATTATTGATTTTTTTTAAAATTTATATCTAATTTCAAAAAAATTTGAAATATTGCAGGCCAGTCACCATTGCAGCCCTTGTTCTCGTGCCACTGAATCTAACCAACATCAGGCATTGAACGTCTGAATTCTAATGTGCACAATAATTCATTGACAATTCCATGCAATTCAACGTAGGAAAAATGTAGGATTTGATTCCTAATGATGAAAATCGTCCAATACAAATTAGGGACATTTAAGTCTTCAACATTCGGGTAGTTCTAACGATGAAAATCGTCCAATGTGCCATTGACAGAGTCAAATCGATATTTACGATGACATGCTAAGGTTTTTGATTGGTTAAAGAATGAAACCCCATTTCATAAATAATCTGAGATCCTGTTTCAGATGTTATTTTCATGCTTATAGAATAATAAATAAGAGCAAACAATAAATTAATTTTGACTAAAATCACCTGTGACTTTCCTTTTATTAACGAATTTTGTCCTACAATTATCAAGGCTTTTGGATATGCCCTAAAAATTCTCCCTAACATCTCATAGTAGAACCTATATGCACTGAGATTTTACTCAACAATGTGCCTCCAAATTCAACTTAATCACAGTCTTCCTTATTTAGGCTGAATTCAAGCTCGACTTACTTCTCTTGGTATCTTATTACTCTTTTGAGTGGTGTATAATGCTTTTCACAGGTGAAAAGACTGTACATGGAGCATAAAAGGAAATAAAAACCCAACTATTCTCAGAAATGTGGTTTTTCTTATTTAATCAGAGTCCTCAATGAATATGCACTGATCTTTTCTATTACACCACTCTCCTTATCCTTTTCCCGTGAAACTAAAAGGATAAACCTGTACACAAGTCTTGATCAATTTTTACAATAAAGACAATAGACTTTCACCACTTTGACAACACAAATCAAGAAAATGAACAAATATTGTTGATAAAGTTCTTGTACTTTTGTATTTTTTCCTGCCTCCACTTTCCTTGCAAGGTAAGATTTCACTTTTTTTTAAGGCCCTAGATCATTGCCTAGGATGCTTTGGTCCAGGGCCGGCATTGGTTCTAAATGACCTAATTTATATACAGAACATGAACCAGATATTGTGAGACACCACAAAGGCCAAGACCAGCACATAGTCAAAATGGCCATATCTTCTTCATGCATTTTTTAACAATCTTAAATAAAACGTGGAATCATTACAGTCATTAATGATGGGTTGGGATAGTTTGAAATAAATAAATTAGATAGTAAAAATAAATTATTTTTTTGGTATTAGTAATGCTTATCAACAATTTAATCGTAACTTAATTTAATTATAAAAAAAGAAGCTAAAAAAATTGGTGTTTAGTTCTTCTTTTTATTTCCTGTAGATTCAGTATTTTATATAAATAGATTGACATGCATTTCATGACTTCCATTGAAAAAATAAAATTAACATAAAAATGGAGATTTTTTATTTGAAAGATTGGTTTGGGAGCAAGTAGTGGCGGTACGTTGGAAAAATGAGTCTTTTTTTTTTTTGGTCGAGCTATAATAACAAATCAAGAAATTAAACAATTCAGCTATTCAACTCTCATCATGTCAATAATTTGGTAAAGTAAATAACAAAGAAATAATGAGCAACATAGAACAAAATATAAAATTAGATATTGGGTTTAAAAAAAAATAATTAATGGACGCTAGAATGATCTCCAAAGGCTTTTTTGCTTGAACAAATATAGTCCCTATTTCCATATTTCGTTAGCACAACCATAAGGTTCTATGGTGTCATTTAGATTCAACTCTATCTTCACGCTTCTTTTCCGCTTTCGTTGCAATAGTAGCATCCCCACAAAAACTCTCCTTTGTCTCCTCCTTCACCTCTACCTCTGTCGTCACCACCTCCTCTATTTCCTTAGACAAGTAATAATTAGATTCATATTCCACAACCGCATCTACAGAAATAATTTGGTTCATTACATTTTTATCCACGCGATCTTTATTATTGTTGCAAACAGCTACCTCTATAATTGCCACTGAATTATTATTTCCAGGATTATCTAAAGTAACCATCAAACTACTTTTACCCACAATTTCTTTCTCACCAAATGAATTCACATCATCCAAATTAATGTTCTTTTTAGAACTATGTTGCTTCGGCATCACCTGGGTTTTAGAATTTTGTTGCTTCGGCATCACCTGGCTTCTTGAGGAAGTAATGGGAAGAGAGGGTTCCGGGGGAAGTGGAATACCAAGTAACCAATAAGGTTCCCAAGGGCAACGTCTATTCCTTTGTGGAATAACTCCAAAACACCATAACCTTAAAAATCTAAAAACAAAAGTGAAAACAGCAAACAGTATGACATGACCGAAAATACCCCCACCACTCTTGTCTATATTTGGAATGAAATAATATTGAATCCCTACTGAGATTAAATATGTTAACATGGCATCCTGGATAAACCACGTACCAGTGAGACAGTACATTATTATATCCTTAAACTTACTGAGAACTACCATCACCATGCTAATTACTTTCTCCATGTTTGGATTTGTTGTATTGTTTTGAAGAATTCCCTTAGAAAGAAAAGGAGCGTACACTATATATAACACGACCAGAGCAGATAAGCATTAATTATACTTGTAAACAATACCTAAGTGATAAAGAGGAATTAAGAGATAATAACTAACTAAGTGATAAACTATATACGGAATCCTCAATTAAAAAAAATCTCCAAATAATTTCTGTTGCAAAATCTCATCGCAATACCCCTTTCTGGGACTGAAGTTTAGTACTTACCAAACAACAAATAAAAATTAAACTATTATTATTATTATTGCACATTTCTCAAAATTCTTTGATATTGGAAAATTAATTAATGGACTTACTCATTTTTTGAAGAGGATATAATTATAATTATAGGTATATTCAGATATGTTAATCTTGTACTACTTTAGTTACAGTCGATAAATTTTACTAAAGTCAACCAAATCCGATAAGACCAATTACTCAATGGGTAAATATATTTATGTTGACACACAAAATGTACAGCCAAATTTAAATGGTCCAAGAGAGGAAACAGCCCAAGAGGGGAAACGGCCCAAGAAAGGAAACGGCCCAAGAAAGGAAGCCTAGTCAAAGTGATCAGGATAAAGGCCCAATCAAGAATGATGTTAAGAATGATGAAGGCCCACAAACAAAGGAACATCGTCGTCCAAGCCTGCACGAACGCCCAGAGGTTGAGCGAATGAAGTACATTATGGTCACCTAGATGGAAGAACCAATTGTCGCCCAAACAGCCGAGTCGCCCAGAGTCCTAGTGATAATTAAGTCATGTTATCACGATTTAAAGCGGTTTGAGCATGTCACGACTACATCCCATGATTTGAGAATATTAGTGGCAAGCAATTATGAAGAAAACGTGGTGGCAGGAGTTACGAATGGTAGTTATTAACCACTCGGCCATTATGAAAGAAATTGGTAGTTATAGGTAGTTTCCAAACGGTTAAGAAATGGCTCAAAGAGTATAAAAGAAAGAAGAAGGCAATGAAGAAAAGCCCGACAAAATTCACTCTCAAACAGAGAATATGTAATTTCCTTTTCTTAGACTAGCTTTAATTAATTCACTTCTTTGTACTCGTGTGCTTGTGCCCCTTGGAGGCATCTTGTTCATATCCAAATTGTAATCTTCAAGTTCGATAAACACCACTTTTTAGGACTTTGTTTCAAGAGGTTTGTTCCTTACACAATCGTCAGACTCTCCTTTAATTGTTAGCGACAAATCACGCGAAATAATTTACACCACAATTTTTGTTACCTACACCACATTCTAATTGCAATGAATATTTCTTAAGTTTTTTCTTATTTTTTTTACACTTACATTCTCATTTTTAAAATTTTTTTTTTTATATTATCAACCCTCTATTAATTTTCACATCTTATCTATAGAGAGGATTTCATCCAAAATGTCCTTTTTAATGCATGTTAGCAGAACATTTTGAATAAAAATTGTGATTAAAAATAAAATATTTTAAATAATTGAAGGTTAAGAACACATTACATTGAGAAAAAAGTCAAGGAAATAAAAGCAAAAGTGATAAAAACCTTTCTTGTAATTAAAATATGGTGCGGAAATAAAAAAAGAAATTCTGGGAATAAAATTACACTTAGGCTCCGTTTGGTAACCATTTTCTACAAAAAAATGCATTCTTTGTGNCCGTTTGGTAACCATTTTTCTACAAAAAAATGCATTCTTTGTATCAAATCACACCTTTTTGTGTCTCTTTCCAGTCATGGACCACACTTGATGTGAAAGAAAAATTATATTATTTGAAGAAAGAATGGCTCCCAAACGGAGGCTTAATCAGTACAATCACTAGTATAATTTTACTTATCCACGCCGCCTATGTGATAAGAGATGTTACAGTAAAATACTGATTATCTCTAACAAAAAATAAAAAATAAAAATAAAAGAACTTAATGAGGTCAAGATGAAAAAGAACATAAAGAACCAAGAAAAGAACAAAATATAGATCAAATGCGGATTATCTTTAACGGAAATAAATTGCATTACTATATTTGCTCAACAGAAAGATAATAATGATAATAATAATAATAATAATAATAATAATAGAACTTAATGAGGTCAAGATGAAAAATTAGCAGTAGCTATTTTGTAATAATAAGTGTACTCGGTTATTTAATTGGCAAACCAAGAAAAGACAGAAAAAATCAGTGTTCTAAAAGGCGGCAAAATGCGCCGCCTAGGCGCGCCTATGCGCGAGGCGTTGCCAAAACGCTCGCATTCAGGCTATGCGTGTACAAATGCGGTCAACACCTGCGTTGACCACTAAAATGCACGCAAAGACACGATAATGCGCGCATTTTTTTTTTAATTATATATTTTTTAAAATTTTCTTTTAATTATATAAACTAACTTCCAACCCACCAATTGGCAGGTCCAGGAAGCATATTAAGCTATTGTTGGCCCATTTATTTATAGGCATAATTTCTTGTGCTTCCTCTATAGGATTCCGACGTGGGATTCCAATTGGTTGATATGTTTGAGTTGTTCTTCACAGTACTTCCTCTATAGGCTAAATTTTATGTATATTCACCAGAGAATCAATAAAAGAGGAGGCTACTGCTGTGTAAGATCAAGTGAAGCAGATGATGGGATCCTTTACTATTGTTGGGGTAATCTCGTTATTATGTTTGGCTGGTTTTGATCTGAGGCTAAAGAAGCTAGGTGTGGGATGCCCGTGTTCAAGCGGACATGTCGAAGAATAATCGTCGGAAGCCACCCATTCAAATCCAAGGAATCAAAGTGAATCTGGGGCATAACAAAAATCGGGCGAAAAATCTGGTTGCAATCTTGAGGCGCTTGCTTTTGTATCAACGGACCCAAATTACCACCTAACTGGATTACATCGTGCACCTGCTAAATCACCACCTAATTTGGAGATTAATGGAACCCAAATCACCCAAGATTGGAGGCAGGATTGCAATTTTGCTAAAAACATTGCAATTTTGCTTTTGTATCAATGAACCCAAATTACATCCTGCACCTACTTCTCCAAATAACTTCTCTTCAGATAGGAGAAACCCATTTGGCTAGAATGGAAATGAAATGTCTTTAGCAGGAGCTTCATCTTGATGCTTCCTTTCAGATATTGGGTGGAAACATTGTTATTTGGGAAGAATAAGATTCATGTTTCCTTCTTGGTGAAGTGGTGAGGCGAGAAGAAGCTGCAGTTACAGATCTTGGGATTGGCTAATGAAACGAATCTCATTATTGAAGACAATGAAGAGGCCCATTTACTAATGAACCCGCCCATTTGGATGGCTAAAACGGTCATGGGCCTAAATGTAAAAATTTATCATTTTTTAATTATCTTTTATTTTTTAAGTTAAAAAATCTATTTTTTTATGATATAGTAAAAAATCTATTTTTTTTATATAAAAATCTATTTAATGTCTTAAAAATAATTAAAATAATATTAAAAATATGAAACGCATTATGACTCTTATTTTTCGCATTGACACACCTAAATTTGTGATTCTTGATTATCGAAATCGACGCATCGCAATGCATTACGCATTTTAGAACATTGGAAAAAATACAATCATAATCCAGAACAAATTTCTTTCGCGTCACCGAACTTTTAGCAAAATATCAATTGTGTCACTAAACTTTAGTTTGTCTGAACTCCAATTTAATTTCAAATTTTAGTGGACCCATTAGTTTGAGCCAGGAGAGATGGTGTACCGTGTATGGACTTGTCCAAGGGTTGGCTCATTTAAAATGGACGGGGCTGGAATCTGGAGGTAAGTCTTGTTCAAGGATTATTCTGCAGTATTCTGTCCTCCCTTCGCATTAAATTTAATGCTTGATCTTTAGCATTGGTAAAGCTAGAAAGCAATCGGAAGAGGCACATCAAAAGGTTTGAAATAAGTATTTCTTGTCAAGGTTTTGTAACAGAGGTAATAGTGAGTTCGAAAGAGTGCTTTTCTATTATTTCCGTGACTTATTCGCTCTCACTGAGCATCATAAATGACCTAAGAAGAAGAAGAGTCCCATAACAAAATGACAAATAGCTAACCAACTTAAAATGTGATTAAGAAACCACTGAAGAAGCTTCAAATTATCTATTTTATATCTTCAATATAAGTAGAAAGATCAATTTCTTACCATTGCATTGAAATTTCAAGAAAAACAACTAAATTTCTAAGAGTAGAACTAAACATTGTAAAAAGTTATCAATCTTTCGTGCGTTCTGCTGGTATCAATCTAGTCACTGGGCTATGGGAGGACAAAATTTCTGAGGCAACAAAGGGAGTAAGAATCTAACAGCCAACTTCGCATCGTGATGTGGAAAAACCTGTCAAAATGTTAAAACACTCCTCAAAAAACTGATTTGAATCCAAAAATAAAGATGGAGCAGTAGTAGTATGGTGTCTTACATGAACACATAAGCCAATGATAAATACAGCGAACATCCATAATCCTTTTGTAATGTGAAGATCATCTTTAGAGTCCAGAAAATAAATGATCGAACAAGATTCATATTGAAAGACGAGAGCTCTCAAGATAAAAAATGAATCACTATCAGAGCTTAACCTCGCAGACAGCATTAAAATTATACCTCCATAAGCAAAGATCTGATAGAATTGTTCGGAGTTCCTGATCATCTCGAACACTATTGTGCTCACAACAACTATTGGTAAAGTAAGTATTATAAATCCGACATTTTTGGACACCACATTTGGAAGCTTTATCAAAACCGAGTTTATTAAGGTCAAGATCATGCTGGAAAACAGAAAAATACCCAAATCCCAGATGAATATCAAGTTAACCACACTAGTGAGTTTAGTTAGGAAAAGTAAAAAGAATAAAACATAAGAAATTGGCAAAAAATAACACAGCATTCCATCACTGTTCTGGATCAAGGGAGTGTTAACCTGAGCCATTAGAGAACAACGAAAAGTGAGAGAAAGAAGGGGCTAGGGTTTCTGGAGTAAAGATCAATATGGGGTATTCATTGAATAGAAGGGAATATTGCACAATTAGTCCCCAATCTTTAGATACTGTTGTTAATCCGTCCTCAATTGTACAATTTGACCTTTTAGATCCTCAACTTTACCTTATTTGGCCTTGATGATCATTTTTCACAGTTTTCGTCAACTTGTAACTAAATCTTGGCTCTTTTTTTTTTTTTTCAGAGAATTATCTGTGTACCAGGCGATGACTAATTGGTAATTTGAACAATTATAACTAATTACAAAAAGGGATTAATTTCAAAACAAATTAATTACAAGAAAACAACACGAAATGGTTTTGCCTATTCGTTCAATGAGGAAAATTTCATGTGCAAAAACAGGCAAGGTCGGACAGAAATTAAAATACGTCCTGTTGCTATTCATACATGTTGATTTTGAGGAAAAAGGAAGAAGTGGAGATTTTGAGGAAAAATCAAAATCATGCAAATTTTTCCTTCAAGGATCCAAGTGATGGATTCTACATTTTGTCTTGTATTTTGTCCATTATTTTTAGGAATGGATATGGTTCAGTTCGGTTCTAAAAAGAAATTAATTGAACTCAAATTTTCAGGTATTTAATAAGTGAAACCGTTGAATCTTAATTCTATTTCGTTTGATTCGATTTTCGGGATTCTATACCGTAATTATATTTTTAAAATTTTTACTACAACACTATAATAATTCAACCAATTACATGTTCAATCTTAACTCTTATAAAATAACGTAGTTCAATTTACAGTTATATAATAACAAGTTGTCTAATAAGATCCATTCACAAATGTGTACAAATTACCAAAACGTAAATAACAAAATATCGATGATTTCATTTCATTGATTTGTTTGCCTCAAGCCTTCGAATCTAAAAAAAATTTATTCTGGGTTTGAGTTAAATTAATTAGTTTGCAAATAAAATAGAAAAATGATATTTATGGATTCAATTATTTAATTAGCAAGTTTATTTAGAAGAAATTTAAAAATTAGGAAGATTCGATTCTTCAGTTATGGTTTAGAATCGAACCAAACCCTTTGGTTCTCAATTTAGATACTTGTTTCAGATATTTAACTTAAGAAGAACTATTCTGCTCAATTCAAGTCCGATTCGATTCTGAAGTTTTGTCCGGCCCTAATTGTTTTTCTTGAACTTGCAATGTATTTATTTAACTCTTCACTTTATGATGTATATAAAATGATTCAGTTTTTGATTTTGGAATTTATGATATAACTTAATCTAACTTTATTTATTTCAATATATACTCTTTAACGTTAAGTTACTGATTTTTGTGTACATTTACCCCCTGTTTGGTACACATTAAAGTTTTCATTTTCATTCTTCTACTCATTTACAACCACACATTTTTCAATAAAATAATATTTTTCATCATATCAATAACTTTTCCTTCTTTTTCAACCACATCTTCTCCATCACATTTTTTCAACCATAAATTCTCCATCAATTTACTATTCCAAAATAATGTGACTCAAACACACCCTTAGTATTGTGTTTGTTGCTCTTCATTTATATAGCCAAATAAATGAATGTGATTAGTAATTTGTACATTATTCGAGAGAAGATTGTGCATTTTAGAAGAATGAGTAAATACTTTAGGTTCTTGTAGGGGATAGAGATATACCTCTAATCCTAGGTAACCCATTGATCCATTTTCATAACAATTTAATGCTATTATTTGGGTTTTAATCGACATAAATATATATTAGGTTAAACAATGCTACTAGGATTAATTTCACTCGAAAAAGATAATTAGCTAAAATTAGAAAATCAGATCTAACATATTAAATGAGTAATTTGTTAATTTTTTTGTGAAAAAATTAATTAAGCGGTCGTTAAATGGAATCATGAGTCTAACTATTTTATCCTCCCAAATTCCCAAATTTTAGATTTGTTATTTTGTAAAATTTTTAGTGTTTTTATTATTTTAAAAATCAAAATCTAATAATTGTATCCTCCAACGCCAAAAGAGGAAACTGCATCCAATTTTTTTTTTTAAATCCAATTTTGTCGAACTTTCCATTTTTGGAATGGAATAGGATCAAGATGAAACTTTATAGACATTATTAAAAAAAAAAAAAAATCTTCTTCTATACAAACTTAAAAGTGAGAGGTGACATTACAATAATAATAAACATTGTGAAGAAGATCTAATGGAGATTATATTAGGTGGGGATGAGCGTCAAAATTTAAATATTCTCCCTCTCCCTCTCTCGGTCTCCTTTTGTTATTTTTTCGTCTGTTATATTAAAATACTAGTTAGATGGAAATTTGAGTTATATATACAAAATTCATTGGAGATGAAATATGAATTTGATCGTCTATTCATTAGATATCGATGATGCATTAAATTGAAACTTTTTCAATTTATCGACAATGATCCATAAATTCCATCGGAGTTGAATCATCGAGAAAATTGCCATTTTTTGCTTTCCTTGCTTGTTTTTTAATGTACGATGAGTCCATTCTGCAAAAATTTAGAAAGTCAGAACTGATTTTGAAATCAACAAGTTGAAGTTGCTTTTGTTTGGACAATTTTTCATTTTTTTCCCTCCGAAAACAGATATAATTGAATAAATGTGACAATGTTATTATAGTATCACACGCGTTTGCATACTAGTAATATTAAGGACTCGGTGAATTACATTTATAGATTACATATTCACGTTTACTTTCAACACTTCCATTACGATAACTTGTGTCATAACTTTCTTAAACAAATGCGAGCCAAATATACAGTTGTTGTGCTTGTGTTGGTTTACACGAGCGAATGTGTCAATCTAGTCTCACTTCAAGACTTCTATTTGAATGTCACATTTTGATATCTTAATTAATTAGATGCTTACATAGATTATATAAATAATTTCTATTCTTTCATTTGTATATTTTATCATCATGCACTCGCTATGTACGTGAGACTGGATTGAGCATTTGAAGATTAATCAACACGCGGACCGACAAATATTAGAAAGCTACTAATAAATGGAACAGTTGCAATAAAACACTAAAATGTCATGATCGAAATCCT